TGTGTGTGTGTGTGTGTGTGTGTGTGTGTGTGTGTGTGTGCGTGTGTGTTAGAAAGAGAGCCAGTGTGACTGCGGTATGTTTTATGAACATTTTTACATGTTGATTTGAATAAATGCTTCATTTGAGTTAACACTGAGAATATGAATATGATTAAATGTAAGTGAAATGTTTAACTTTGAAAAACAACAATATCCGACATTCAAAACTAAACAAAAAACATTCAGTTGTGTTTACCTTTAATCTGTGATCAGAGTCAACATCAGAGACAACATTAGAGGCAATGTAATCAAAGTCAACCTCAGACAGTATCCACAATATCCAAACTGTGGACAATATCCACTGCCCATATTGTATCCACAGTTTGTGGATATTGTCAGTTGGATATTTTCTCAAATTGTATCGATTAAGATCAACAACCACAACATTTTACAGATCTCAAACTAGCTTACTATGCTTTCTGGTCTCTAAAAATTGAAATTCCACCGAAACCATTTTCAAGAATCGATTGGTGACACGCAAAATAATGGCCTGCATGAAACAGGTGTCTCCCAGCATAAGGAGTTCCAGCAATCCTCCTGAGGTGGCACAGAGCTTTGCAAACGCCACAAAGAGAAAGGTTGAGACGCCCAACAAGAGCAAGAGGGGTGACAACAATTCTCCTGAGGTGGCACGTAGCACTGCAAGGGCCACAGAGAGAAAGGTTGAGACGCCCAGCAAGAAGAAGAGGGGTGACGAAAACGACACTGACCCTTCCCTAAATTCCAGAGGCCAATCATCCTCCGAAGAAGAGACCGGAATCTGTTTCCTCAGTGGCCACTACAGCAGAGGTAAGTTGTGTGAGAAAGAAAATATCTGTGATTCTGTTTGCATGAAGCAAGATCCCAACAGATAACACTGTGTAGTTTGGTTTGAATTCTGGATTTTAGGGTTAAAGTCAGTATTAGTGCATTCAACTATGGTTTTGCTTTTCAATATTCCTCTGTATCCACATTCAGCAGCATCTAATTGTGATATGATCTTGTGTTTTAAAAAATGCACTCACTCAAATTAGATGAATTAAACATAATCTGTCACAGATTCAAGATTTTTTCATGTTTATCACAACTGTAAACGTGTGTATATTTGTGTGTAGCTGACTTTGATAACGAGTACCAGTTGCTTCACGAGATTGGTGATGGAGGCTACGGAACAGTCTACGCTGGTCAGAGACATTCTGATTCTCTACCGGTAAGTTGAATCGTATTCATTTTCACATCAAATATACATACAGGTGCAATCCCATTTCCCCCTTCTCCCCAACCCTTTGCCTTTGGCATAGATCTTATTTAGATAGTGTAGGTTTGTCACTTTAGCAACAGCTAGAGATAGTATTGGTTTATTTAAGATCTCAACAATGTTATTACAATGACATCACTGGAAAACCTTTTGTCGTGTCTGTTTACATCGATAACTATTGATGACGTGTTTTCACCACTACTACTGATGATCTATGGCTTCTAGAAGGGCTGTCCCACTTTGTAGGGTAAGATTTTAATAAGATAACCCTCGAAAGAAAGTGGTAGGGAGAAGGGGTCAAATGTGATTGGGCCACAGTCACCATCCATACTTTCACCATACTGTGCTGACCAAATGTACTGATATATGATTCTGTCTTACAGGTGGCAATCAAATGCATGCCAAAAGAAACTGTAAAGATTGGAACATTTGTGAGTAACTTGATCAGATTAATAATTTTATATTTTTGTTGTTTTTGTATTTCTTTTGTTGATGAGGAAATCACACATACACTGCCACAGTTGCAGAAACACTAATATTGTGTATTGTTTTCCATCAGGACATCGATGGGGAGAAACTTCAAGTCCCCTTGGAGGTGCTCTTCATGACGGCAGCAGCAGGTCCAGCAGGCTTGGCGGGCAAATCTGCAGTGATACAGTTATTAGATTGGTACGATCTGGGCGTTGAGATTTTCCTGGTCATGGAGAGACCGGCCCCCTGTGTCGACCTGTGCGACTACCTAAAGGGTAACCGTGGTCAACTGGACGAGCACAAGGCAAAGGTACTGAAGCTGGTTGAGTTGTCAGACATTTTTTAAGCTGCTGCTGTCAGGCTCAGAACTTCTGAACCTGTCATCATTTTGAAAACATTTCATTTGACTCCAACCAAAACTAGATTGAAACTCAATTTCAACATAAGTTCTTTAAACACCTATAGTTTCTTGAGCATTGATTTCTGGTGGGAAGCTCCAGGAAGCTTACTACATCAAACCTGTTAGATGAAAAGCTGCTTCTTTGACAATAATCAGTGTAACTTCAGTCCCTTCTTCACCACTCTAACTCATCTGTGTCTCTGTATTTCTGTTTCAGAACATCATGAAGCAGCTGGTGGAGGCAGCCATAGAGATGCACTCCATGAATATGTTCCATCGGGACCTCAAATTGGAGAACATCCTGATCCAAACCACCTCTTATGGTCCTCGAGTACGGATCATAGACTTTGGATGTTGCTGCTATGCACAAGATACCCCTTACCACTCTTTCTTTGGTACGGTTAGTTGCTGCTCTTCATTCAGCTGTTGATCTTTGTATTGATGACTTTCACTAAAGTCCCCACCTCTTCCCCCACTTTTGTTTCTTTCTGTCTATTTTGCATACAGGAACCTATTCATGTGCTCCTCCAGAGTTTTTTAAAACAAAAAGGTACGAGGCCCTCCCCACCACAGTCTGGCAATTGGGTGTGCTGCTGTTTGATTTGGTGAATGGAAGCACACGATTGGACACCTGTGACTTCATCCACAGTGGGATGAAAATCAACAATGAGCTGTCCCATGGTAAAATCAGAGTAGCTTTGTTTTTCGTATTAATAGTGTGCAGTTATAGTGTTCCTTCCATGTTGCAGTATATCAATGCAGATTCCAGACTAATCTGTCCTTTCTCTTCTGTCGTCTCTCTTCTCAGAGTGCCAGGATCTGTTGCGCATGTGTCTGGCTCTACAATCGGACAAACGTGCAACACTGGAGCAGATACGGGAGCACCCCTGGTTGTCTGTAGAATAAAAAAACTAATCTTTTCTCATAAACATAAATGTAATTATTATTTTGTGACCACACAAGTTCCCCTGAGGCCTTTTGACCTTTGACAGCTGAACACAGGAAGTTTGCAAGTAGACACGGTTTTAACAGCCAAACCTTCCATGCTAAGTGTATAGGGTGAATTGACAAGGTCCCGTCTCATAAAGTCACTGATAAAGGATCATTTAGACTCAGGAGAGTGATCACACCAACAGTTTCTTTGATCCACTGTGGGGAAAACACAGTTGAATTTCAATTGGTTTTACAGCCTGCAGTCGAAGAGCTGATTCAAAACTCTTCTTATCTATTCAGTTCAATTCAATTTTATTTGTATAGTGCCAAATCATTATATACATTATGTCAAGGCACTTTACATAGAAGCAAGACCTTAAAATCTCACCTATAGGCCGTTTTCTCAGTCCCCTGCTCTAAAATTACATGCCTCAAATTAACAGTGTATTTCTGCATTTCTTGGTGTCTATAAAGTAACACTTGTGGGATTTCTGTAGAGGTAAAAGCATAAGTATAGAGGTTACTGGGTCAGAATAAATGAGTGAGCACAAAATAAATAAAATAAATTCTGAAGTTACTATTGCCTATCAAATTGGGCAGATGTGATTTCACCACTTTTTTCTTGACATCTTTTTAATAAGTTAAATAAGATAAACAGGATTGCCATTGAATTCTACCATTTGAAATTTCCACATCTGTACCCCTTTCACATATTGACTGTAAATACAAATGGGCAACATTACCCATTATATTTAATCAACTGTCTCTACATAGAAAACCCTTAAAATCTAAATAAATAACTTTAAAACTGAGAAAACTTAACTTTGCAAAATATTGATGGTGTATTCTCAACATCAGAGAGCTGATTTACTTTGTAAAACAGTAAAACAGAGGAAGTCACTAAGAGTCAGTGAGAGTCAACATGACAGGAAGTATCAAGAGCTGGTGATGTTGATTCTAAACGGTACTCATCTATGCTTCATAACCGTAATGTCTTCACCCCTGTGTTTGTGTGTGATTTTGTATGATCAGTGATTTAGGCTACTAAGCAGATAAAATCTGTGTTAGTAGGTTACACTCTCAGCAAAGGCCAACCACAAGAGACATGCTTGAAGTGTGTGTGTGTTTGCCCATGCAGAAATGATGCCTCTGTACTAGTGTGCACACCCATCATGTATAACTGGGTGTTGTTGTGTCAAAGGAAGCGTGAGAACCGGGTCAGTCTCCTGAGGAGAGGTGTAACGGTGAGACGATGAAGCAAAGAATAAACGAGGGCAGGAGAGATGAGAAAATGAAGAAGAAAGAGGTGAAGAAATGCTGATGTTGAGAGATCACTGACTCTAAGCTAATTAGAGGGCTAGAACCAAACTTTTGCATTTTACTTTTTACTGTTGCAGCCAATTAGGACACACCGTAAAGTAGAGCAGAGGTTAAAGCAAGTAGTATCGTCTATACTGCAGTTATTTGCACCATGGAATAAAAATGACTGTGATTTCACATAAGCTGCCAACTAAACCCACTTCAGTGTATGAATTTACACATACACACACACACACGCACACACATGCACACACACACACACACACACACACACACAATAAGCTATTTATTTCAAAATGTCTTCATTTTTAAAAAAACCCATGCTTTCTGAAATCTCCCATTTGAATGCTTGAGAGAGTATCTAACCTCCTCCAATTTTAAGCAGGACATGATTTCTTCTATCCATTGTGCATGAGTGGGAGAGGAGGCATCCCTCCACCTGAGCAGGATCAGTCGTCTAGCGAGCAGGGAGACAAAGGATATGCCTTCGTGAGCCCAAAAAGAGCAATCAACGGGCTTGGTTCCAACCTGGTGCCTAACACCCGAGAGAGTGTATGGAAAATTTCCCTCCAATAGTTGGTGAGGCTTGAACAGGTCCAGTACATGTGGATGAGCGAAGCCTCAGCGAAACCACATTTGATACAATGTGGGCTGATATCAGGGTATATAGAGGATAGGGCCTGAAAGAGGTACAGAAATTTTGGTAGAATGGTCATTTGACTGAATTAAAACATCAAACAAGAGATAATGACGAGGGTGACCACTGTGCTAATATTTGTTTAGTTTGATTTAATAACGTGATAAAGTTCTCTTGGAATAAATCTTAGTGCTTTCTTTTAACTGAGATGCCTAGATAGGAAAACGTATTATTCTCAATTTTAAAAGGCAAACTGGCAAAGTCTAAGGCTTGTGCCTTATTGTTGATAGGGAACAGCTCGCTTTTGTTGAGGTTTAATTTATAGCCTGAGAATTCACCAAATTGACTAAGCAGTGAAAGAGGTAATGAGGTGGTTGGATAAGAGATAAAAAGCAAAAGATCATCAGCATAGAGCGAAACTCTATGCTCCATGTTACCTCTCTATATGCCAGATATGTCCTTGCAAGTACGGAGTGCTGTAGCAAGTGGCTCATGGCCATATCAAAAAGCATGGGGCTCAAGGGACACCCCTGGTGGGTTCCGCGATGCAAGCTAAACGGTCTTGACCGCTGTGAGTTGTGAATAGAGTAATTTAATCCATGAAGTAAATTCTGGGCCAAAGCCAAATTTGTCCAACACAGCGAACAAGTACACATCGAAAGCTTTCTCTGCGTCAAGAGAGACAATGCCTTCTGGGATATCTTCAGAGGAAGAGTAGATAATGTCAAGCAGTCATCTTATATTGAAATAGGATTGCTTGCCTTTAACAAAGCCAGTTTGGTCTTTGGATATGATTGTAAGGAGGGCAGTCTCCAATCTATGGGCTAGGACCTTGGCTACAATTTTAGCATCCGTGTTAATGAGGGAAATAGGCCTGTAGGAGGCACATTCAGTCGGATCTTTACCTTTCTTAGCAATAAGGGTAATACAGGCTTCAGTAAATGATGGAGGAAATGAAACTTGCCTGCAAGATTCAGAGAGGACTGAGCGTAGCAGTGGGGAAAGCAGCAGAGAGAATTTCTTAAAGAATTCTGCCGGGAAGCCATCGGGGCCCGGACACTTGCCTGACTGCATTGAAGAGATGGCTGAAGCTATTTCTGCCTGGGATATAGATTCTTCCAATCTCTTCTTTATGTCTAATGAAAGTCTAGGGATATTAAGACCACTCAGGAAGTCAGAAATTGCATTGGAATCACTCTGACAATCTGAGGTATAAAGCTGGGTGTAGAAGTCCCTGAATACTTCATTAATTTGTAGGTGACCTTCAGTTATAAGGTCAGTTGGTAACCGGATCATAGAGATATTTTCTTTTGCTTTATGACCTTTGAGTTTATTGGTTAATAATTTGTCAGATTTGTCTGATAAAAAATGTTTTTACTCTTTAAAAGTGACTGTTCAATTGAGTAGGCGGTGAGCAGATCAAATTTGGTCTAAGTTCCAACCGTTTTTTATATAAATCTGGACAGTTAGTCTGGGCGTATTGTTTGTCAATCTCTCTGATTTGGTGGGCAAGGTCTGATTGCTTTTGGTGGGATTTTCGCTTCACTTGAGCGGTGTAGGCTATAATCTGCCCCCGAAGGTAGGCCTTAAGAACGTCCCACACAATTGGTAAGAAAAAAGGCTATTTCCTCCTGCATGAATTTGACAAAGTTATCATCCGACAGCAAAGTTGAATTGAATCACCACTGTCTGTTCCTCTGAGGGAGGCCAGGGAAAGTCATGGTCAGGACAACAGGGGTGTGATTAGAGATGACAATACTCTGATAGGCACACAAGTGAACCAGTGGAATAAGATTGTTATCGATAAAGAAATAATCGATCCTTGAGTAAGTGTGAAAAAAAAAGAGTATTCTCTGTCATAAGGATGCAAAGAACGCCATATATCACAATCACCATAGTTGGAGAGAAAATCTTGAATAGAACAGGCTGACCTACACGCCGGGCTGGGGTTAGTAGAAGATCAGTCCAAAACCGGGTCCAACCAACAATTAAAATCACATCCAAAGATAAGAGAGTATGTATTAAGATCTGGAAGCAATGAAAACAGTCATTCAAAAAAAAACATAAATGTTTAGGAATACTACAAGCGTGTTATATAGTTTACCTGAGACAATCACATACCGACCAAACCTGTCAGAGATCACATTATGTTGCACAAAGGGAATATCTTGACTGATGAGAATTGAAACTCCCCGGGCTTTGGTTTGAAAAGAGGAGAGAAATCCCTGCCCCAACCATCGTGACAACAGACAGACATTATCTGAGCTGCGAATATGGGTTTCTTGAAGGAAAACTATTTCTGTTTTCAGCTGTGCACCTCCTAAAGAAAATATGTAGACCTAATCTAGAAGGTTTTTACGAAACAAAACAGAAAGAATAAAAAAAATAAAAACGTGAGCTCTAAGATATGATTACAAATAACTTAAAGCGTCTAGTTCCAGGTAACGTAGAGTTAAAATCCAACACCGTGAGATTTGCTTGTAATATTAGTAACAGACTGTGGAAGCCGTCAAAAGGAACAGCGTTAAAATACTCACTTATGAACCACTGGACTGAACATATTCACCAGTATAAACAAAGTGTGCCGTCCAGCTTGTTATTGACCATGTAGAAAGGCAGGACAGAAAGTGTCGGTACCTTTGCTTTGCTGGGTTCAAAGTCATTAAATAGTCCCTTTACAAAGTTGTGGAGGACTTGGGGAGACTCTGGATGTACTTGCGCGCCTCGTCCGCAGATCTGATCCACTTTCTGGCTCCACTGGGCAGCGTCAGACGGAGCTGGGGGGGGAGGGCAGAGCAGGCTTCAAACCCAGTTTGTAGAGTTCAGTCATTACCCCTTTATACTCCGCTCGCTGGTTAACAACTTCAGGGCTGTAGTCTTCAACAATCCGAATCGGCTGGCCGCAATATTCGAGTTTCCCTCGTCGCCGTGCCTCTCTGATGAGGAGATCCTTCGCCTGGTACCAGTGTAGACAGAGGATGACTCGTCGCGGCTGCTGTCCAGGGGCCGGTTTCGATGCTAGAGAGTGATGAGCCCCTTCAATTTCTGGTGGAGATGGCAGAAACTCGCTCCCAAATACCTCACAAAGCAGCTTCGAAAAAAAGTCGGTGGGACGTCCCTAGTTTGCAAAGTTCAGCATTCACGGGAGCTCTCGGCAACACGTCTACTCCATCTGCCCTACCCCTCCAGATGCATCTTTACATATATACATTCTGGTTGGCCATCGTCAGGCTCTCGCACAGTTGAGGAATAGCTAAGAGATGATTCCCCAAAATCAGCACATTTTCCCTCTGTGCATCTGCCCAAAAAGGTAAAACACAATCGGAGAGGAAGAAGGAAATGTAATTTATGGGTGAAGCCATTGCACAGCCACCTTCTGACCCACCTGTTGATTTACGATGATACCTTTGTTTTTGGTCATTTTGGCACAGAATGACACATATGAAAAAGGCAGGCCTTTTTAGCATTGTAATCAAACAAACTTCCACTTCTTCTTCTTCTTAGAAAAAATGAATGGACCAGAGCTGGTCTGCAGGACCCCATGTACACTGTGAGCAGTCAGGTTGATTCAGACAGTTGCACCATACAGTGTGAGCACATAAATCCTAAGCTTTGGCTTTACAACTAAAACAATCTACCGTTACAGTATGAGGTGAAATTTTACATTAGCATTTTAAGTTTTAGATGAAATTAACACCCACAACCACAAATCATTTGTTATTTAGCCTTTATTAAATAATAATAATAACATTAAAAAAGAAATTCTTCTGTACAAAGTCTACAAACAACAGTTTGAGTTATCTGGCCAGTGCCGCAGTTATGTCTTAATGTAGGGTGCATGTGTGTGTATGAGTGTGTGAGAATCCATCGAGACAGAAGAGGTAATACTAACTGGACGTCCAGAGGGAAAAAGTTAAAATCGAGAGAGAGAGAGTTAGTGAGGTGTGTTGTGTGCAGTGGATGATTGTGTGTCTCACAATGTACTCACTGATCTGCATTGACTGTTTCGTGTGTGTGTGTGTTTGGGGACAGATTAAAAAAGAGAGAGAAATAGTGAGAGAGAGATAGAGAGACATATTAAGAGAGCTCCAAGGCACTTGGAAAAAAGTCCAATGAAAACACAGTTAGATGGACAGAAAACCTTCCATCTCTCTCTCTCTCCACTGTTTCCCTCCCTCCATCTCTCCTCTGAACACCTTTCAACTTCCTCCATATCCATACATGCCCTTGACAGGAAAAGAGAGGAAAGATGAGAGAAAGACAAAAAGAAATAGTGGGGGCTCCAGGCAAAGGAACAAGTTTGAAATGTTTGACTCTTTTCTTGCTATGTTTTGTGTTGCCATGTGGCCCGTAGTGCAAAAGTCTCCCATTAATTCAACTAGAGCTAATTTGCAACTGTCATTCAACTAGCAACAAATAGTGTGGCATAAATACTCTACAGGTCAGGATGGATGGCTCGATGCACAAAGCAATCAAGTATATTGCCAGAAGTTTTCACTTTAAATCAGTAGGCTATATAGACTTTTCCTTTTTAATTAGAACCATGATCTTTCCAGAAGTTTTAGTTGACTTTTCTTTTAGTCCCCTTTCTGTCTCTCTCTCTTTCTTTCTGACTGTCTATCTTTCTGTGTGAGTGTGTGTGTGTGTGTGTGTTTGTGTGTGATTCTCCTGCTGTTCATCAGTCTCTCCAGCAGCACTGGCCCTCCTCAATGGCTGTCCTCCGATACAGCGTATACTGTAGTTAGCTTAAGGCTCAATTGTGTGTCCAAGAAAGTCGACGGTACAATTTCCATTCTCCTCCTTTAGTCACTGTTTCTTTCCTTCCTTCCTCCCATTTTTGGACGTCCTTCATTCACGGGGTGACATTAAGAGAGGTGGATAAAAGGCAGGGTCATTGATCAGTCTGTTTTCCACCCAGCCTCTTTCTAACACTTGTTCAGACCCCATGTGCACATACAAGCTCTTTGGCAATCCATAGGTTGCAGTAAAACAATCACTGACATTTTGTTCACACAGTGTCTGTCCATCATTTGGGCATCATACAGTCTGGAAAGCAAAAAATATAGATATATACCAAAGACTGAATACTGAATCTAAAGCACAACTCCATAACAGCATGTTAGATTTAGATAAACCTCTAAGTTACTGTCCTCCTTCTTATTTGACCTTTTCTCTATTCTTAAAGACTCATAATCTGTAATGGAAAATGTGCCAAAATAGAAAAGGACTGAAGAAACAGTTAAGACCATGAAGTCCAACACAACGATAAAGTAAGTCTAAAAATGACATAAGAGCTCTACAGGGCGGTTACGAACTGAAGCTGACTTTTCTTAACCTTTTATCTCCCAAAACAGACACAAGTCTAAAACAAAACAGTCACCATTACTCTTCTATGCCACTGGTTTCACAAAGCGCAGACCGAGGGCAGACAAAGGAGCGAGCGTGTGCCGTACAGCAGGCTAATGGACGTTTGAAACTCACAGAACTCATATATAGAAAACTTTCAGAAACAAAATTTAAAAAAAAGAAAATGTCCTTTTTATCCTCTTTTCCTTCTTCAACGTTAGAAATCTAGATTCATTACAGTTGTGTTTTGATATCTTTTTATACTTCTTTAGGGGGGGGTAGGCATTCACTTGATATGTGTTGATTTCAGTCAAAAGTACCCATGTTAAACGGTCCACTGGTGCTGAAAGTCTTTGCCAACAGTCAGAGGCTGGAACTTTTACATTTTTTGATTGAGTCTTTATTCGACACATTCAAAAGCTCGGAATCTGAGCAGAGTACCAGCCGAAGGTCAAATTCACGAAGAATCTCGTCACCAATATTTTCACCCTTGACTGTGCTGTCATCTGTGGTCCAAATGTCCAGATTGTCATGGGTGCTCTGGTCCTTCTCCTTTCTCAGCTTAATTCCAGTGGCTTGTGGGTTATATTCATTCATATTCATTTATTCATTCCTTCATTCATTCACAGGCTTTTAGAATCAAGCAGGCTCTCTCCTGCAGGCGTAGGAGATATGGTGCTGTAAGTAGAGGAGGAGTGGGGTCAGATGTTCCCATAGTTGAGGCCTCATAGTATGTAGGGGAAATCAACATCACAAGTTCCCCCGGCACACAAGAAGGTGGGGAAATTCTGGGTTGAACGTTACCCCTTTAGACATCAGAGAGAGGAGGTATCAAGAGGGGGACTCTGGGGATTGAAATAGCAGGTAGTGCTTCTTTTTTGTGTTTTCTTAGTCCAAACTGCGAACTAAATGATTTTTGCAGGGGATCATGGAACACGTCTTTCCCCATCTTTCTCCGAAGTTGTCCTCCCTCTATTCATGCCTCTGAGCAGCACCTCTGCTGGTTTATTTTTACTTTATGCTTGATACCGTCGTACAGCTCGAAGTTGTAGTTCTCCAGTGTCGTAGAGGAGCGCGAGGAGAGCCCGCTGTAGGAGCACGTACAGTAGAGGAGCAGCCCAGCACAAATGGCACCCAGCAGGACGCCTAGGGAGCTCATCACTATGATGGTAAGAAGGATGGGGTCCAGTGTGTACAGCCAGGCATTGTCCTTATCCTTCTCCGACACCAGGGTGACGGAGGGAGGGTCCATGTCAGAGGAGGAGGGGGTGGAAAAGGAGGATGGCCACCCTGGGAAGAGGTAGTCTGGAGGGAAAACAGCAAACTTCAGAAAACATGTTTGTACATGAGAAATGCTCATGTAAAGTTATGATATAATGTAGTTAACTAACATTAAGGCTTGAAACATGGTGTAAATGATGCCGTTTCAAGGCAAATTTAAATGTCAGGGCTTACGGACATTGGATGACACCAAGAATCGATCCCTAGTTACTTCAATTGTATTGGATTGGGCTGCAACGCTGTTTAACCCTGATATCCGACAGTGTTTTGTGGACTCAAATACTTCACCCACCCGTCCATCAGTGTAGTGGTGAGTAGCTAACGAGTACTTTTTCATTTTTCGGTGAACTATCCCTTTAAGTGAGTAACTGTGTGTTTTCTCACTCTTATATAATATTTCATACATAATAAAAAGAATGTGGTCTTATTTCAAAAGTCACAGTCTCCCTCTAAGCTGTATTAGAGGGAAATTGTCTGTCATGGTTGATGCATTCAAGAACAGTTAACTCTGTGACTACACCTGACTTCATTAAATTTGAAAGCATAATCAAATGAATTACTGCAGAGGTCCTCTCTGGTGTGTGCCATGAGTGTGTATCTACTTGGTATAAGCAGTTGTGTTAATCCACTTAATTAATGTATATACATGAACAAGGCAATTAACAATTAAGTGGTGCATTTCAGACTGCTTTATAGGGGAACACACGCACACACACACACACACACACACACACA